TTAGCTATTACTTTGCTGCTCAATTTTTGAGATAAGTCGTAATTCAAAGTTGTCAACATGCAGCATATTGAAACAAGTAAATTAACTTGAATATAGTCATCTGGGGACAGAAATGTCTGGAAACCCATACTGAAGTAATGAATTTCAAATTACTTTCGTTGAATGGGAAGCCCACGCAAAGTTGGGAAAAGTTTCGATAACTTAGATATCTGAATCTCTTCAATAGAACACTCAGTCATTTAAAATCGGAATTTAATCAGATGGAATATTGTCTTCAAATTCACTTACTCGATTTAATTCAGGTTAGTAGTGAGAAGATTCTATAGGTATACCTTCTAAATATTTTCGGCATTTTGCTGGAGATCTAGTAAACTACAAAATGAATCCTTTGAATAAGTGATCCTTTAAGATTTCTTTCATCTTTTTGAGGAAAGTCCCTTTCACCTCTTCTGACATAGGTGCGGAATTTTTTCCTATGTTGAGTTATTGTGAGAATAACTCACCCTGTATGATGATTATCAAAAATCTGAGGTCATATTATGAATTTACAAGAAAAATACTATTGAAACTTGTTATTGAGGAAGTTTTTGGCACAATTTCAGTTATTCCGTAATAAATTATTATTTTAATTTTTTTCATTAATTGTCGGATAAAATTTAATAATATAATCAGAAATGGAAATATGATGAATATTCACGAAACCAAAACATAATTGTTGGTATTCTCTTTGATTACTTTGTAAAAATATTTTATAAATTACTCTCGTAACCTAAAAAAAAACTGAATAATACATTCGTATCAGGACCGGAATGATTCTTTTGCATGTTCTTGTAAGCACAGGGTATCCGTAAAAGGTCTCTACAAAATCTCAGCACATATATCTGAGGTCTGAATAGGCCAATTTGAAACAACTTATCGCAGTCCGAATTTGTTCCATTTCTGAGATACAGGGTGGTGAATTCAAAAAATAAAAATCGAATTTTTCCAAAGTTTATGAATATTTTCGAACGTAGCACAAAATTGGAAGTCAGCAGATCGTTGGGATGCGGAACCCGAATACGGACACATTTTCACTGTATTCAATATGGCAGATTGAATTTTTGTCATCACTCGGTATATCAGAAACGAAGCGGATTTGGACATTTGTATATGACATTTTGCAATCATATATTGACACTCCCCATAACCCCATAGGTTTTGTCGGTTTTATCTCTGGACACCCTGTATAAAGAACAGAGAAAATCCCTGATCAAAGATCAAAATATGAAGTTCTTCGTAGCTGTTGAAGGACCCATTTCAAGGAAAACGTCAATTTTGTCTTGAGATGCAACCGAGGATTCAACAGCGTTAAAGACAACTTTAATATCTATTGTAGAATAATGAATTTATACGGGGTGAAATAAGTACATATACATTCAACACATCGATATAATATAGTCTAACGACATTGCCCGAAATATCAGTTTTTTTTTCTAATTCTCCTAATTAATGAGAAATTTCATCCCGAAAATTTAACAAAAAACGGCCGCTTTAAATCAATTTAAATGATTGAACCGTGTGATTGCGCCTTCCGTACGGAAATTTGAACAGAGGTGACTTCAGAATCTCTACAGTATCGAACTTTGCGTGGATAAAAGGGTCTCCCACAGATCTCATTTTCTCAGGAAGGAAGGAATGCTCGCAGTCCCTATATTTTTTTATTGGAGCCATTCGATAGCATCGAGGTTTCTCAGGGTTCGAAATATTTGTCATTATTTCAATGTCACCATGAATATACATATAATAATAAAATGCAGGTGGCACATCATAAATGATACCTACGAATAAAATAATTTGTATGCATGGATATGACCATTTCATTAATCCCATCAGGGTTTGGTATATGAGGTGGGCAGTTAATCTAGTAATTATGGCATTACGATTGAACATACAAATGAAAAATAAAGCGTGGGCGGTGAATTTCAGAATATCATCCCCAATTTACTCCATTTATATGCATTCAGGTCATTCCATCAATGTTTAAATCAAAATGTAAATCATCAACTAGGTATTTCAATATCTACTCCATACATAAACTACCTATATAGACAAAGACAAATGCACATAGCACTTCAACATCTCCAATATACTTATTATGAAGTTGTCAACATCAATGGCATCATGGAGAATCGAAAAATATGATTCAAGAATTGTTTCCTTTGATAGTTCGATTTTGTTGTTTGATCACCTATACATAACATGAGCATATAAACCTATAGTCTTGAAAAAAAAATTTTGTGAAATTTTTTCAAAAAATGTACGCTCCCACCATACTACATCTTTAAACTATTATTCTAACGTCCGGCAACATTGCAAAAGTCATTGATACTTCCGGTGCTTCTGATCTTGCCGAAAGCAAACGCTTGGGTTGGGCTATTTATCTCTGATCAATGATTCAGAAAAGTTTCAGGCAATCCTTTGAAGGTCAATATCTTTCGAAATATTTTTTCTCTCGACAAAAATGTACTATTTTATTTAGTTTTGTTTTTTCGTCTTCTATCATCCATCTCATTTATTGTACCAATTTCGGAAGAACCATGTATAGTACTCAACTAAGATACATACTATGATTTATGTAATTAAGTAATCGTGTTGGACCACTTGGAGAGGTGAAATTAATATCCAAATTTAACAAAGAAGAAACGAAACTAGTAATCTCAAATTACAAAAAAGTTATGTTATTCACTTTTTGTACTATAGTACAACTCACTTTTCACAATATAGCTATGTAATATACTATTTTTGTCTCTATTACATATATTTTGATAGTTTGCCTAATATAGTTTTCTTTCCCTTTTTTTCAGGCTGTGATTTTCGATGAAATCGAACTCACCGACCTGTGCCTAGCCGAGTGTTCAACAAAAAACGTCAATCACAGTTTCCAGGTATGTATATTGGATTGCCAGGAATTTAACCCATCAGAACAGGTACAGAGGGAATCTTGTACTGCAGGCCCGAAAAAAAGGCCGGAAAATTGGCCCTGTTAATAATAGTAGGGAAGGAATAGGCATAGGAATAGGGATAGGAATAGGGATAGTAGGAAAGGGATTAGGAAAGTATGAGGTAGAAAACTGGGATATGATTATGGAAGCATTCATTGAGAAGTCAAGGTTGAAAGAGTAACTTTTGTATTTCCATGTATAATCATCAAGCCCTTAGCTTTCCTTAATTGAAAACTAAAATTCAGGCTAACATATTCGAACATAAACCTACAATTCCTCCGCAATTTGGCCAAAATCGAAGAAGAATTAAAAAGTTACATGATTACAATTAGTCAAAAAAAGTTTCTGACCGTTTTTTTGCCAGTGAGTGTACCGGTCATTTCATGTTGTTAGTGTCAATCTACGACGGCGTATTAGCGCCACAATAACCTATTGATTTTTTAATCAGAATCTCAAAATTTTTAGATTTTTTCTCAAAATTTTGAGATTTTTCCTCAAAATTTTGAGGTTTTTTCTCAAAATTTCGAGATTTTTTCTCAAAATTTTGAGATTTTTTCTCAAAATTTCGAGATTTTTTCTCAAAATTTTGAGGTTTTTTCTCAAAATTTTGAGATTTTTTCTCAAAATTTTGAGATTTTTTCTCAAAATTTTGAAATTTTTTTCTCGAATTTGTTACCTACATGATAACAACATTGTGTATGTTTGCATTCAGTTATAAAGTGGTTGTGCTTTGCGAAAGTTGTCACAGACCTCACCTAGTAGACCTATTTATGTGTTAAATGGAGAACACTAATGTATACCATTGAACTAATAAAGAGATATTTATTCCTTGGTTTGAATTACCATGAAATATTACAATGTTTGCAGTTAGTACATAACAACGACATCAGCAGAAGAACATTACAAAGACGATTGAAATCCTTGGGATAGAAGGAAATTTTATATACGAATGATCATGAGCTTCTTTCTTTTCTCAATGAAGAAATTGACATTTCTGGACAATTACATCCATCACTTTCATCAGCTTTTGCTGTGAATATCTTATGGATATCCATAAGATATCTACTGAAGGATATCCATTTCAAATCCTTCAATGGATATCTCATGGATGTCCATTTCAAATCCAGTAGGAAAACGAAGAATCAGTTCTATTTCCGAAAGGTTCAATCCATGTTCGGATACAAAAAAGAGAAATTGACACTATGAAAAACAATCTTGCGGATTGAACTCATTCGTGATTGCTGTGAATATCTCATGGATACCCATAATAAGATATCCATTTCAAATCCTTCAATGGATAGTTCTATTTCCGAAAGGTTCAATCCATGTTCGGATACAAAAAAGAGAAATTGACACTATGAAAAACAATCTTGCGGATTGAACTCATTCGTGATTGCTGTGAATATCTCATGGATACCCAAAATAAGATGTCCATTTCAAATCCAGTAGGAAAACGAAGAATCAGTTCTATTTCCGAAAGGTTCAATCCATGTTCGGATACAAAAAAGAGAAATTGACACTATGAAAAACAATCTTGCGGATTGAACTCATTCGTGATTGCTGTGAATATCTCATGGATACCCATAAGATATCCATTTCAAATCCTTCGATGGATATCTCATGGATGTCCATTTCAAATCCAGTAGGAAAACGAAGAATCAGATCTAGGACCGCTCTCGTTTTCTTTGTTGCACTTCACACTTCTGATATCTACCTACTTTCAACTCTATAATTGACAATGCAGTATTGTAACTGAATACACGCATCCATGAATAAATAAAAAATCTCAAAATTTTGAGAAAAAATCTCGAAATTTTGAGAAAAAATCTCAAAATTTTGAGAAAAAATCTCAAAATTTTGAGAAAAAATCTAAATCTCAAAATTTTGAGAAAAAACCTCAAAATTTTGAGAAAAAATCTAAAAATTTTGATTTTGATTAAAAAATTGATAGGTTATTGTGGCGCTAATACGCCGTCGTACAATCCGAGAAACACCCTGTCTGGTTTTTTTTTCAGGTGATAACCCCCTTCCGATCATTGGTGCTCTGTTGCGAATCGAGAAGAGAGATGGAAGAGTGGCTCGGCGCTCTCACTGCCGCTTCACAGCGCCGATTCCACGAACTCGACCAACCGGATTGCCTGTCCGGACAGCATCATTGGTAAGTTACGCCCCTTAGTAGATACAGGGCCATTTTGGTCGCTACTCGCGATCAAGCCCAATAGCACTGAGCTGTTCAAATTTGAAACCGCGGGCATCCATTGAGTGTCTTTGAGGTGCACAATAATAGGACCAAGACCACTGAGGAATGAGATCCATTCAAATCTGTTTCAATCGATGGATCTTGATTTCCACATCAATATTAGAAGTTGAAATTGTAGGGGATTGAACCTATAGTGTTTTTAAATCAGTATGTGCCATTCGATAATCCAAAAAGCCATCAGATATGAAGGTAGAGCAAAGAGCCGTGACGTATTGAATCCGAACTATAGCTATCTACCTCTGATGCTTTGCCATTCTGCAGTGTCGCAGTGTGATTGGTCAGCTGAAGGACAATAGGCGTGTTGGGACTAATACGTCACACCAGTCACACCAATGAATTGACACCATTTCAGAAGGCGCAGAAAGTGTGTGTTATGAAATGAAAATATTTCAGATTAATTTTTTTTATCGTCCTAGTATGAATGAAAAAAAGCAAAATTGAATTCACTGGTAGTTCTTTGGTATAAATGCTGGTGTTCCGCAAGGATCAATTATAGCACCAACACTATTTCTACTCCATATCAAAGATTTGTTGGAAGCAACTTCATGTCCAGTACACAGCTTCGCAGATGATAGTACTCTCCATACCGCCTTCTCTTCCAGGGCTCCAATACCAGCCAGGCAAATCAGAAACAAACGAGGGAGAAATGTTGACAACATAAATATGGACTTGGCAACAATTCTAGATTTCAATGCAAACAAAACACAAGCATAAGCTTGTCAGGAGTAACCATACCTTTGAAGACATCCATTTCGATGCTTGGTATTACTATCAGCAATAAACTTTCTTGGGAAAATCAAGTGAGATCAATTGCTGAAAGTGCATCCCAAACACTTGGTTTTCTGTTTCGGGCCAGGAGCTATTTCACTTCCAGTCCGCTGCTTATGATCTATAAGTCACAGATCCGACCTGCCCTGGAATATTTCGGGGTCACTTTGGAGACCTGCAGAACATCTCCCGTTTATCCAACGAACAGCGAGGCTCTGGAACACATTGCCAAGGGAGGTGTTCCCCGAGGCATATAACCTCCAGAAATTTAAGAAGAACACAAATTTGTACCTTATTTATCTTGGTTCTCACGATGTCTCCTCTCCATTGTCCCATTTTAGGACCAACTATGGACGTCCTTAAGGGTTAACCAATGACATTGAAGGATACCACCAAATGTACAGGGTGGCCAACTAAGACTCCAGAGTTCGATTTCTCTGTTGTCTTGAGAGATAAAAAAAAATATGTATCAAAATTGAAGTAATAATTGAGCTTCCGTAAGGTCACAGTACATCAAAGCTATGTTTTTTTAATTGGAACACCCTATATTTTATTTCATTTTTGAATTCTCCCTGAAGATCTGATTTCAACGACCCATCATACTTAGGTTCTAGCAGTGAAAGTTACTGACATATAGGGTGTGCAAAATCGGGATTTTCCAAGTTCAGAATTTTTTTCTGTCGAAACTGTTCATTATCCGTCAAAACGGTTTACATGTCCCTATTTGAACTTTTCACTCACTATCAATTGGTGTTCAATTGAAATTGATACAAGGTGGTCAAAAAATCTTAATTTATAATTTGTTTCAATTTAATGTCAATTGAACACCAATATTGATAGCAAGTGAAAAGTTGAGATAGGGACATGTAAACCGTTTTGACGAATAATGAACAGTTTCGACAAAAAAAATCCTGAACTTGGGAAATCTCTATTTTGCACACTCTATATGTCAGTAACTTTCACTGCTAGACCCTAAGTATGATACGTCGTTGAAATCAGATCTTCAGGGAGAATTCAGAAATGAAATAAAATATAGGGCGTTCCAATGAAAAAAACATAGCTTTGATGTGCTGTGACCTTACGGAACAACCTGTGTATTTCAAAGAAATTTTGAAATGTGAAGCTTGGTTATCACTTTAATTTGAATGCGAAACTTTTTTTTGTATCTCTCAAGACAACAGAGGTATCGAACTCTGGATTCTTAGTTGGCCACCCTGTACTCTATATATCGAGATATATCCATCAAATTATGTTATATCAGAAGAATAATGAATATTTTTAATTGAGTTACGTAATTATCTAAGTCAATCAACTAAAGAAAATAACGCAGATACACTTTAATTATCGGAATGGATTACTCTATGAGGCTATACATATTGATATTTCATACATTTTTATGATGTCGAACCTCTAATTCCAATTGGAGTCCAGGCACGAGGAAAATATAAATGAATTCCAGGAGCCTCCTGGAGAGCTCATATTCATTGCATTTGGAATAGAGCCAGAACGAATCCGAATTTGAATAGTATAAACGAAAATAATTATTTGCAATTCTCGCCCTTTGAAGAACTAGGAAATGGGAAAGCGATGCTGCACGAATATGTAAAATTCCTGCTCTGGATTTCGAATTACTTCAGCTGTTCAGCATCTGAATGATCTCGAAATGAACATACATACGTACTACCGTGTTTTTTCATTTCCCAATTATTTTTCCACTCTCTTGGATTCTCCAATGCATGATGCATATCCTTATATTTTAGGAACTACATCAGTATCGGTAACAAGTAACTTCACAAAGTGAATACAGGGTGTCCGGAATGGTCATATCGTGAATGATATAGGTTTGATAGAAAGAGGCAAAATATAATGTCATTACTTCATATTGAAAAAATGTCTATCGCACACTTCGTTACAGAATTATTGAACTTGAGAGTATGTGTATAAAAACATATATTTCATGCATAACATTTAAACGGTTAGCCCAGTTACTTTAGCAATAAAGTTCAGCAATATTTTTTATTTTTTCCGTTACGCATTCTGCGATAACAATTTTCCAATATGTTGATTTAGGATAATCAAGTAATACTAATCGAAACAATTTTTCTGGATGTCCAGGGCCGGACAGGGGCCAGCAATATTTTACAACTTTCTTATTAAGGATCCTGCCACTTACATATTTCAGTATGTCATTCAGAAAGACAAAACAAAGGAATGGACAGTATCAAAATATTTAATCATCTCGTATTATATACATATGTACAGTGTGTCCACCTTAAGGACTTACCAAATCTGTAAAATCGTTATTATCTGACCGATTTCGAAAAACATTTTTTTGTTGGATAGGTATTCGAAATGTCCATCCAACAAGAGAGTTATTTTATTCTTAGACTGTTATCACGGCCAACTGTGACTAATTTTAATGACCCATATTTCAGTAAGTTCTATTAGGGATTTTTTTCGAAAAAAAAATAATGATAGAATCTGAATCAAGATCAATTGAAACATACCTTTGCCGATTTTCATCATCAAAAAACACAGGGTGTCCGAAAAAACAAATTATTATTTTTCTTGAATAGGTGATCGGAAAATGTACTACTGTCGTATTTTTGGAAAGAACCAATGACAAATTATCATTGAGGATTACTTTCAAATATATCCGTACCAATTTTCTTCATTCGAATATACAATGTGTCTGAGAAAAAAATTGAAAAGTATATGTAGCAATATTTTTTATCATGATAATTCTTCACTCGAAACATAATAATGAATCCGGATCACTTGAAATATATCTGTACCGATTCTCATTATCATCAAACACAGGGTGTCCAAAGAAAGAAATTTTTATTTTTTTGAATTGATTGAAAATATTACCTACTTATTCTTTTTTATTTTTTTCTCATTCATATCGTATATTTGAATGATGAAATTCGGTACAGATATGTTTGAATTAGTCCTCAATGATGATGTGTCATGAATTTCTACCAAAAATATCACAGTACTACACTTTCTGATGACGTATTCAAAAAATAAATAATAATTCGTTCATTTGGACACCCTTTGTTTTATAATGATGAAAATCGGTAAAGGTATGTTTTCGAAAAAAAAATCCCTAATAGTACTTTCTGAAATATGGGTCAATAAGAGGCTGGTCGCAGTTGGCCACGATAACAGTCCAAAAATAAAATCATTCTCTTGTTGAATGGACATTTCGAATACCTATCCAACAAAAAAAAGTTTTTCGAAATCGGCCAGATAATAACGATTTTACAGGGGTGGTAAGTCCTTAAGGTGGACACACTGTATAAGAGAATGCAAATTCTCAACTTCGTTAGATTTTTTATTCAAATCCTTATTGTGTGTGTCCCAAAGATATAATTCATTGTTCGTTGTGGCATATAGCCAAGAAAGCAGTTAGATTCTACACCGATAAAGAATTAGTATTTTCATCAGATAGACAATGCGAATTATCAATGTATATCTTTATTTTATGTAGATAACTGAGATTATTCCTTATTTCTACGGCTATAATACAAAACTGCTCTTGTTTTACTATGTTCAATTAATACTCGCCTATTCTGAAAACCAATGGAATTTCTTCAATTTCCTAAAACCGTTCAATCACCAGACATTTGTAGCGACAATTTAATTTATGCTGATTCATGTATAAAAAATTATATAGGTCGCGTGCACGATGATCGACCCTTCAGGTATAGTCGATCCAAATTCAATTGGAGCCAATTTCATCTGAGGTTTCAACTCCAGGGTCGGTCATCTGAAAGATTTTGCACGCAACCCATGAGCCACTGTGATTTTGTCATTATGAGAGCGAAAAATCTTTGTCATTAGTTTTCCAGTGAAATAACGAAAACTAACATTCGAAACCATGGCAACCAAAGTAGTGAACGACCTCTGATAATATTATTGAAAAAAAAAATAGAACGGTGAAGTAAGACGAAGGGGCATTCTTTGTCATATACCTTCAAATTTGTTAGTTCTCAATTCGGAGACCCATTTATTTAGTGCCAATTGCGATAATTTTAGTTGCCTCATTTTCGCACTAGATTAGATCATATTAAAACTTGCCAAAGTGAATTTGGAAAACGCGCCTCACTAGGGGCCTTATCTCGCTTCGTTCCCTTTTGTTATCGTTTGTATGCCAAACTCAGCATCGCTTCCATTTTGTTTCTGAAACATTTTGATGGCTTGATAATCGAGGAACAATGATTGGATTTCGACGTGAATAAAGAGGTGCTGTGGTAGATGAAAATTAAACGAAATTCCGACGATTCAGCCAATCTAAACTTGCGAAACATGTTCTCATTGAATATTATATCAACCTATATCAGATGAATACCTGATGAGAATAACATTGAGAAGAACTAATTATATACCGCAAACAAGAGATCATCATCATGATGACAAGCATATGTGATCAGCTCTAAGATAGTCTGGGACTGCCTGTGCCTAGGAAATTTTAATCATCTATAGGTAGAGCAAACATGATCACCCTTTTCTGGGTTCCGGAGCATACCGGACTGGAAGGAAATGGAATAGCAGATAGACTCGCAAAGCAAGGGACTGAAACACCACTCATGGGATCCGAACCCTTCTGTGGGATCAATAAAACAACAATAGTTGTGAAATGGAATGAAGGAATGCATCTTGAGACAGCCAAATACTGGCAGGATGTACAAGGTATGAGACAAGCGAAGACACTCCTGAAAAGACCTACCGAATGCACCAACCTAAGTGATAACAAGATCCGAATACTAACTGGAGTCCTATCAGGAAACTGTCGATTGAGAGGACATCTGAAGAAACTCCGGGTAGTTGAGGAAGCAAAATGAAGATTTTGTGGGGAAGAGGTCGAAATCTCCATCCACATCCTCTCAAACCATGTAGCTATTTGCAACGCAAAAGCGCTCTGTCCAGGATCATATGGAATCGAAGATCCCATATCCTCAGATTTCTGAGTAGAATAGGTTTAAAAGAACAACTATAATTCAAAATTCCGATACGACGCATAGCAAGAAGAGGGGACCCAATAGATTACATGAGGTCGCAGTGTACACATCACCATTATCTACACATAAATACATATAGTTTGTCCAAAAAAAATTGCTCGCACGTGCAGTCACTTCAGACGGGACTTCAAACATGCCGACGCCGCACAGTGCGGGATGTCCAAAACCCATTTAAGGATTCCAGATATACAGAGTGTATTAAAAATATTTTCAAAGTGTCTGCTTCAACGCAGCTCATTAGATTTTATTCAAATTTGGTGAGATGGCATAGCTAATGGAGTTGAGAATTAACTCTGGGACGTACGGACTCGAATCGGACGTAATATGTACGTCCTCGGGACGTCGTGTGTTGTCTGGGTAGAAAGTCTTCTCGCCTTTGAGCAACTCAACTACAAATGGTAACCGGCATTCTCAGAAATTTTGCTATTTGTTACTGAGCATATTCGAAAACATTTTCGCGGGAACGTTCAATTTTTAGAACTGACATTTTAAATCTGAGAATGATGACAATGGGGAAGTTTTCTATGTTGAGGTTTTCATCTCACAGTAAAGTTTGTAAAAAATTAATTTATACGTATTTCTTCTTCCTTTCGAAAGACAAATTTAATTTCAGAAAAAAATAAATAAAAGAGGAAGTTGGCTCCTCCACCATTCCTATTACGTACTTTCTGAAAATCCACATTCACACAGAGTTAAAATACGATTCCCTGTGCCAGTACGCCGTTGCCGACTTCATCGATATGTCTAGATTTCCGGAAATTGTTCTTTGATTGCATAATAACTATATCATATTAGCAATGGGATATAGTAAGTTCTTCAATCCTACTTTTTCAGGTATTATGAATAATTCTCATAAATCTTTCATTGGCTGAATGAAGTTGATTACTTATAAAGATAAATTATGATATTTTGCGATAGTATCTATAATTTTTCACTATCGTTATATTACAAGATGTTATTCATAACTTGTCATTCATTTTTTTGCTGATGAATTCGTTTCTAAATAAAACGGATCTATTCTCTAGGAAAGTAACAGATTATATCTTGCAACAGCGCCTGATACTTCGAGTCCGTCCACACCACTCAAAATACTGACAGGCACAACAAGAGGAAGGAGCCATGGGTTTCGGCTTCATTCTGCTCTGACCGATGGCAGTCAATTAGGAAGGATAGTATCAATGAATATAGCCGATAGTGATTCATTGATTCAATGATATTTTCGTTCAGGATCGAGCTTTATTCGAGATATTTCAATGCATAAATAACATGACCATAACCTGTCAGAATGAAGCCAACTACCTTCTGCATTCCTGCTCCGAGTGCATTTGTGGTTATGTATGTTTTTGTTTACCAGTTTTACTTCTACTTCTATTTTTTTCAATCGCTTTTCATTCGTTTGCAATTCGCTAGCTATGTTCTTCACCATCAACTGTTTTCAGGCTAGATTTAGAATGTATTCCACAGTTTACCGCCCCTGAAATTAGAAATTTCCCATTCGGGAATGTCAGTGGTGACAAGCGTGTCCACACTCTTCAGTGCGTGTAATGAGATGTTTGAGTCTAGTGTAGATATACCCGATTCAGAAGAGGGGCAGGTCCGGACTCAAAAAATTGAGCCCCAAACAATGTTTCTATTTTTTTTTGTTTTTTCTTCAGGTATGCCACCTCGCACGCTCGCCCCACCTACTGCAACGTGTGTCGCGACGCTCTCGGTGGCGTCACCTCACACGGGCTGTCTTGTGAGGTGTGCAAAAGCAAAGTGCACAAGAGGTGCGCCGCCAAGGCCATCAACAACTGCAAATGGACCACGTTGGCCTCGGTCGGTAAGGACATCGTCGAACAACCGGATGGGGTAAGAAACCGAAGATAATCCCGAAAAAAATATTTAGTTTCTCATCTGTCTTTTGAGTCTTTTGAAAAGTCATCACTTTTTTATGCGTACCTGTATCATGTTTAATAGTAAAAAAATAGATGTCTGAAACACTTTTGTGTAAAATAGTAGTTTGTTTTATTAGGATCAAAAGTGGCACTTTGTTTGACAGGCGAATTTTGCATTTGCGAGGCGGAGCGTTTAGCGGAGCCGAGCGAAAGCAAAATTTGCGAGTCGAACAAAGTCACTTTTGATCCGAATGAAACATGCTATTTTTTCTGCAACCGAAACAATTAACTCAAATAAACATGAGAAGTAACCACCAATGCCGTGCCATATGTATGCAATGCAACAAATATTGAGAAATAATCCATGTGGTGAGAATGATCTACCTGCATTAACAGCAGAGGTTTTCTAGTATAGGATGTTCGAATTGTAGTTTCAATATAATTACAACCACAGAGTGACATTTGTGTATGGACCAGGTGCTCTAATGGCAAATACCGCGCCAGTGCCTGCTATAGGAACAAGACGTGGAAAATGTTAGGTTAGTGAGCGTATCAACAATGATGATAGTAATTATTTATTCCTCTCCATATAACACTGTGTTTGACTTGATAATCAAATGGAGCTAAACAATATCGTTGTTTGAGACAAAAAAACTATTGCTTGCCGTGATTATTCAAAAACAAGTTATCAATCCCGAGAATAACGAATGAAATACAGATCAAGCGAGTATTTGAATCTTGAAGGCTTCTCTGATCAAAACAAAAATACTCAACTGAGATGTTTATAATTCCAATACTAAACTATAATAAGGTGTATTTATATCTCCAGCATGGGTATGAAATGCCAAATCTGCTGAAATCGGAAACAAATTATGTATGCGTCTCAACCCAGATAACCAACTGTCACAATGTTGTTTATTTTTGATGACGTCCAGTAGATCCTTTTTAGTTCCTAGGAGCTAAACTTCAACTTTAGCTCCTATAGGAACTGAAATTCAACTTTAGCTCCTAGGAACTAAATATGTTGCCTAGCAACATACCTATTTTGTGTCAGTAATAGAAACGTCAATTTAAGAGCTAATTTTGGTATCAAAATGGACGACTTTTGTGTCGGTTGCAGAAAAAATATATTCTTGGTAGAGGATGCTAGAAGCAGCTGTTTTTGATTTATTGGGATTTGAAATAGTTGATGCATTTGAATTATTTCCATGGGGCTCGTACGATTTAGCGCAATTTTTCTAGTGCTTGTCTATGGACCGAAAAGTCTTGGACCAAATCTTATTCCTGATTCGTTTTTAACATGTCAGAATTAGTGTCTTTGGAGTTTTCCAGATGTGTAGGACGCTCGGGGAGAAAAAACATTTTTCGACCTGGACTAACCTATATCATCATGAATTGCTATTTTTGAAAATTTTAACGAAAAGTCTTGGACCAGATCTTATTCCTGATTCGTTTTTAACACGTCAAAATTAGTGTCTTTGGAGTTTTTCAGATGCGTAGGACGCTAGGGAAGGAAAAATATTTTTCGACCTGAACTAACCTACCTATATCATCATGAATTGCTATTTTTGGAAATGTTAACGAAGAGTCTTGGACCAAATCTAATTCCTGATTCGTTTTTAACATGTCAAAATTAGTGTTTTTGGAGTTTTCCAGATGTGTAGGACGCTCGGGGAGAAAAAATATTTTTCGACCTGAACTAACCTATATCATCATGAATTGCTATTTTTGAAAATTTTAACGAGGAGTCTTGGACCAAATCTGATTCCAGGTTCGTTTTCGACATGTCAAAATTAGTGTCTTTGAAGTTTTCCAGATGTGTAGGACGCTCGGGGAGGAAAAATATTTTTCGACCTGAACTAACCTATATCATCATGAATTGCTATTTTTGAAAATTTTAACGAAAAGTCTTGGACCAAATCTTATTCCTGATTCGTTTTTAACACGTCAAAATTAGTGTCTTTGGAGTTTTTCAGATGCGTAGGACGCTCGGGGAGAAAAAATATGTTTCGACCTGAACTAACCTATATCATATCATGTATTGTTACATTTGAAAATTTTAACGAAAAGTCTTGGACCAAATCTTATTCCTGATTCGTTTTTAACACGTCAAAGTTAGTGTCTCTGGAGTTTTTCAGATGCGTAGGACGCTAGGGAAGGAAAAATATTTTTCGACCTGAACTAACCTACCTATATCATCATGAATTGCTATTTTTGGAAATGTTAACGAAGAGTCTTGGACCAAATCTAATTCCTGATTCGTTTTTAACATGTCAAGATTAGTGTTTTTGGAGTTTTCCAGATGTGTAGGACGCTCGGGGAGAAAAAATATTTTTCGACCTGAACTAACCTATATATCATCATGAATTGCTATTTTTGAAAATTTTAACGAGGAGTCTTGGACCAAATCTGATTCCAGGTTCGTTTTCGACATGTCAAAATTAGTGTCTTTGAAGTTTTCCAGATGTGTAGGACGCTCGGGGAGGAAAAATATTTTTCGACCTGAACTAACCTATATCATCATGAATTGCTATTTTTGAAAATTTTAACGGAAAGTCTTGGACCAAATCTAATTCCTGATTCGTTTTTAACACGTCAAAATTAGTGTCTCTGGAGTTTTTCAGATGTGTAGGACGCTCGGGGAGAAAAAATATTTTTCGACCTGAACTAACCTATATATCATCATGAATTGCTATTTTTGAAAATTTTAACGAGGAGTCTTGGACCAAATCTAATTCCTGATTCGTTTTTAACATGTCAAAATTAGTGTCTTTCGAGTTTTTCAGATGCGTAGGACGCTCGGGGAGAAAAAATATTTTTCGACCTGAACTAACCTATATCATCATGAATTGCTATTTTTGAAAATTTTAACGGAAAGTCTTGGACCAAATCTAATTCCTGATTCGTTTTTAACATGTCAAAATTAGTGTCTCTGGAGTTTTCCAGATGTGTAGGACGCTCGGGGGGAAAACATATTTTTCGACCTGAACTAACCTATATCATCATGAATTGCTATTTTTGAAAATTTTAACGAAGAGTTGTACCAAATCTGATTCCAGATTCGTTTTTAACATGTCAAAATTAGTGTCATTGGAGTTTTCCAGATGTGTAGGACGCTCGGGGGGAAGAAATATTTTTCGACCTGAACTAACCTATATCATCATGAATTGCTATTTTTGAAAATTTTAACGAAGAGTCTTGGACCAAATCTAATTCCTGATTCGTTTTTAACATGTCAAAATTAGTGTCTTTGGAGTTTTTCAGATGTGTAGGACGCTCGGGGAGAAAAAATATTGTTCGACCTGAACTAACCTATATCATCATGAATTGCTATTTTTGAAAATTTTAACGAAAAGTCTTGGACCAAATCTCATTCCTGATTCGTTTTTAACACGTCAAAATTAGTATCTTTGGAGTTTTTCAGATGCGTAGGACGCTCGGGGAGAAAAAATATTTTTCGACCTGAACTAACCTATATCATCATGAATTGCAATTTTTGAAAATTTTAACGAAGAGTCTTGGACCAAATCTAATTCCTGATTCGTTTTTAACATGTCAAAATTAATGTCTTTGGAGTTTTCCAGATGTGTAGGACGCTCGGGGAGAAAAAATATTGTTCGACCTGAACTAACCTATATCATCATGAATTGCAATTTTTGAAAATTTTAACGAAGAGTCTTGGACCAAATCTAATTCCTGATTCGTTTTTAACATGTCAAAATTAGTGTCTTTGGAGTTTTTCAGATGTGTAGGACGCTCGGGGAGAAAAAATATTTTTCGACCTGGACTAACCTATATCATCATGAATTGCTATTTTTGAAAATTTTAACGAAAAGTCTTGGACCAAATCTTATTCCTGATTCGTTTTTAACACGTCAAAATTAGTGTCTTTGGAGTTTTTCAGATGCGTAGGACGCTCGGGGAGAAAAAATATTTTTCGACCTGAACTAACCTATATCATCATGAATTGCAATTTTTGAAAATTTCAACGAAGAGTCTTGGACCAAATCTAATTCCTGATTCGTTTTTACCATGTCAAAATTAGTGTCTTTGGAGTTTTTCAGATGTGTAGGACGTTCGGGGAGAAAAAATATTTTTCGACCTGGACTAACCTATATCATCATGAATTGCTATTTTTGAAAATTTTGACGAAAAGTCTTGGACCAAATCTCATTCCTGATTCGTTTTTAACACGTCAAAATTAGTGTCTTTGGAGTTTTTCAGATGCGTAGGACGCTCGGGGAGTAAAAATATTTTTCGACCTGAACTAACCTAATCATCATGAATTGCAATTTTTGAAAATTTTAACGAAGAGTCTTGGACCAAATCTAATTCCTGATTCGTTTTTAACATGTCAAAATTAGTGTCTTTGTAGTTTTTCAGATGTGTAGGACGCTCGGGGAGAAAAAATATTTTTCGACCTGAACTAACCTATATCATCATGAATTGCAATTTTTGAAAATTTTAACGAAGAGTCTTGGACCAAATCTAATTCCTGATTCGTTTTTAACATGTCAAAATTAATGTCTTTGGAGTTTTCCAGATGCGTAGGACGCTCGGGGAGAAAAAATATTTTTCGACTTGGACTAACCAATATCATCATGAATTGCTATTTTTGAAAATTTTAACGAAACGTCTTGGACCAAATCTCATTCCTGATTCGTTTTTAACACGTCAAAATTAGTGTCTTTGGAGTTTTTCAGATGCGTAGGACGCTCGGGGTGAAAAAATATTTTTCGACCTGAACTAACCTATATCATCATGAATTGCAATTTTTGAAAATTTTAACGAAGAGTCTTGGACCAAATCTAATTCCTGATTAGTTTTTAAAATGTCACAATTAATGTCTTTGGAGTTTTCCAGATGTGTAGAACGCTCGGGGAGAAAAAATATTGTTCGACCTGAACTAACCTATATCATCATGAATTGCTATTTTTGAAA